TCGGGCCGGATTGAGGTGAGTAATGATTTTAAATGCTGTCCTGAGGGTGTGAAACCCCGGAATTTCACAGCGTTCGGCTATGTTGAGGTGACACACATGCTAGATGATGAGCGTGGGGTCGTGCACTGTTGGGGATTGTGACTTAGTCCATCCCGAATGACTATTTTACTGTGTATTTGATAGTTAATTGTCTGATATTATTATATTTTGGGCTAAATGCCATATTTGGGCTTCGTGCCAACTGTTTGGATCCTTAGGGGATCTTTACTGATATTTTCCTCACTATTTAATTTCACATTTGTGCTCAGTCATGCCATACTTTACTGGTTTCAAAACTCAGCTATGTTATTTTATTTTAAACACCTTAAATGATATTTTTAAAAGATATTTTGTGCTGAGCTTCATGTTTTACTGTTGCCCGAGGGGCTTATGAGATTCTGGCTGAGTAAGGCCGAGGGCCTGTATTGTGAGGATACTTTTGGGTCGGGCTGCACGCCGCAGCAGTGATATACTGATTATGATAATGAGGCTGAGGGCCTGAGATTGTACACCACGAGGTGGCTTGTGATTATGATAATGAGGCCGAGGGCCTGAGATTGTACGCCACGAGGTGGCTTGTGATTGATATGAGGCCGCGAGCTTGTTTATGATGCCACGAGATGGCTTGATATTGCGCTTGGGCCGTAAGGGGCCCCTCCCGGAGTTTGTACACCTCCAGTGAGTGCGGGTACCCATTGTAACATGAGATATAACCCGAGGGGCTGGTATTGTTCTGTGATATTGCCCGAGGGGCTGATTCTATTGTTGTTACTGAGCACGAGGGGCAGTTCTTATGTGTTTATCTTTTCTAGTTGTTTTCCTATATGTTGTTTGACTGCTTAAAATGTGTTTATGAGATTTCACTGCTTAATTATATTTATTGATTTTGTTATGCCTCTTATAGCTTAATGTTGTGTTTAACGTGATTTTATATCGCTCAGTCTTCATTTATTTTTATTACTCACTGAGTTGGAGTACTCACTTTATTCCTTGCACCCCTGTGTACAGATTCTGGCGCTACAGGTCCTGCTACTGAGGGTTGATAGTTCCGGTAGATCTTCGGAGATTTACTAGGTAGCTGCTTGGCGATTCGCAGCCCAGTGCATTCTCCCTCTATCTTAGTTCTTTTTGGTTACGTTATGTAGTAGTGGAGTAGACTTCAGACTTGTGGTATTGTTTTAGATGCTCATGACTGTTGACACCCCGATGTGAGGCTGTGTTGGTTTTTATTTCCGCAAATTATACCATTCCCTGCTTATACTGTTATTTTGGGATTTTCATCATGTTAAAGATTTAGTATTTATTATTATTAATTGTTTAGAAAGGATTGAAAGTGTGTCGGCTGGCCTTGTCTTCACGAGAGGCGCCATCACGACCGGGTTGGGTTTAGGGTCGTGACATAATTAAACCTCAAATTCATGCATAATGCGTGCGTAACATGGAATTTTCCCTGGAGTAGGTAAAATGAAGGGGGGGAAAACAGAAATAAGAGGAAGACTTGATGATATCAAAATTGGTACGAGAGGAGCACTTCAGAGAGGAACTCTGAAGCAGTTACGTATCACTGCTGGGCTTTATTCATTAGCGACAGTCATCAAAATAGCTAGCGTTTGTAAAATTATTAAAAATAGTCGCGATCTTATGTGGAGATAAAATCTAAACAATAATATCCTTAGCAAACATGGAAAAAATCCAGCATAATATGTTGAATTATGAAACTCTTGCGTATAAAGCTCCAGCATATTGTACTGGAGTTTAAACTTCAAAGACACCTTGTAAGCGAATTTCAACATATTATATTAGAGTTTAACTCCAACGTATTATGCTGGAATTCACATACAAGATATTTTGAACTCCAACATATTACGTTGGAATTCACATGTAAAAAGTATGAACTCCAACATATTATGCTGAATTTTTTTTGAATTTTGAGTTAGGGTATTTTTTTTTTCAAATTTTATTACCGCGTAAAAAATTGGATAAATTTTGATTACTTTTAAAATAGTAGCTAAGTTTCAATTAGTAGCTATAAGTTTGCAAAATCATTAAAAGATAGCCACTATTTTGCTGCAATAAGGAAAGTTCCAGTATAATATACTGGAGATCGGTGCACTTGTGTATGAACTTCCAGCATATTATGCTGGACATGCTGGAAGTCCAGTATATTATAATGAAACTCCAGTATATTATACTGGAGTTCCATTATAATATACTGGAGTTCCAGTATATTATACTAGAGTATTTTCCGAATTTTGAAAACTGTTTTCGTTCATATTTATCTTTATATGAAAGTGGCTAAATTTCGATTACTTTTGAAACTATGGCTATTTTTGAATGACCACTTGTAAATCTGGCTATTTTTTAATTTCTCCCCTACAGTCCGATAGTAAGCCCAGGCTTTTATTTGCCTAATACTAAGGAAGGCCCATTTTAGAGTGGGGCTACCTTGGGCTGACGAAACAGTCTGGTCCCATCTCATCAGTTGTGAATCGTTTTGGTTGAAGAATGAAGTACACTTCACTCCCCTGAATTCTTGACAAATTTTATTTTTGTCCTTGTGATATTCGATTAAACATATTTAAGCTTCATTTTAATGAATAGCCACAAATTTAATGAATTTTTATATGTTAAACTACGTCACTACTTAAATGTTATGTTAAATCTTTTTGTTTTATTTCATATTATGAGGATAGTGTAATTGTAAAATAATCTAAAATAAAATATTTTCTATATAAAAGGATAAAAATACACTTAAATTAATTAAAGATTAAATGTGTTTTACCGTGCATCGCAAGGGCCAAAAGATATAATGAATGATTGTATGTCAATTGCCTTAAATAAGAAAAATAATTGAACTTACATTAAAGTCCCATTTCCCAAAGAACCTTTCAATAAAGAGTGGCATTGTATACGCAAACTAGGAAAGTTCGTCAAGATTCAATAAAAATCTTTTTTCTTTTCTGTTCACATAGTTTAATAATGGAATTTTTACCTCCTATATCAAAGGTTGATATCTTATTTATTTTAAATAAATACCCTTTTAAAAAATTATATTCCATAGCTACCTTTTGATTTTTATAGCCAAATATCTATTTATTGTTACCTCCTACCCTTAAGCCATAAAATACGCTTTGTATTATTTTTCTCTCTCATTCTTTCAGATTTTTCTCCACCCTCTCTCTCTCAACGCCAGTCTTTCTCCATGAATACAACCACGATTCTCGATTGATTCATCTCTATTGTCTCGCGAAATTTTCATTGTCAGTGGGCTGGGGCTCTGAATCAATGTCGAAATCAAGCCCTAGAGAGAAAGATGGAGGTTCGAAATCTGCTATTGAAAGGTAAATTGAGGGAAATCTGAAAGGAAATCACGAAGATCCACCCCATTCTGATGGTCGTTGCTTTGACCTCGGTCGAGTACAGTTTTTCGCATGATTTTATATCGCAAGTCATCTTTACCAAGCCGCGCATCTTCATCACAACATAAGGAATTTCTTTCGTTTTACGCCAAATTTTGAGAGTTTCAAGTCAGAATCGCGGCCCTTTCGACGATACGACATTAAGGTTGTTCTGAACAAAGACGACGGAGTTTGGGCTGAGCAACTTAAAGAGTCTGTTACCTTTTTTTTTTATTGTATTTAATGTATCTCGCTGTATTCCATGTATTTCATTGTATTCACTGTCTCGCTATATTCCATGAATGTATTCATATGTTTTTTTTAATTAATATAATTTATGTATTCAGATGTATATATGTATTCAAATGTATCTGCAGTATGTATTCATATGTTTTTGCACGATAGATGACCTGCTATACTTCATGTATTCAATGTATTTTTATGTATTTACTGTATTCAATGTAATTATATAATTTCAATATATAAATCTATTTGTAAAGATACCAGTAGAAAATATTTTAGTAAAGATACCACTAAAAAAAGAAAGGATGGATTGAATCTCTGAAAATTGCTCTGTTTTTGGGGTGTTTTTCGGTTGAGAATCTTTTTTATAACTGGAAATACAAATTTTGTGTGTTATAATTAAGTTTGTTGAGTTATATTAGGAGTCTATTGTGTTAATTGATTCACTTTCCGTTTAAAAACAGCTGAATAGACTACGATTTACGCTATTTACGTTACTGTATTCACAAATACATAGCCCATGTTTCACGCTGAGTTTTGCTACTGTATTTTTACTACTGTATTCATGAATACAGTAGCTTAAATACATCGAATACACTCTAAAAATACTGAAGACATAACTATAGAAAGTAATATAGTAAATGATAGCTACAGCTAGCTAATAACCACTAAACAATAGTGGTTTGTGAAAATTTCTCTTCAATAATTCTGTTTCCTTTCCTGTATCGAGGGGAAAAAAAGAAAAACCCAACTAGGGATGCAAACTCTTAGGACCACTTTGTCCATATATTTTTTTTCCAAAAATATTTTTGTACATATAATTTTACAAGTTTTTGAAAAAATTCGAAAATGAGTTTTTCAAAATTTTCAAAAAACTTTTTCCCCACTCACAAAACTGCAATATTTTTTTCAAGTGAAATGCATGTCCAAACACAAATTCAAATTTTCAAATATTATTTTTCAACTTAACTAGAAATACTACTTGTTTTAAAAAAATTACAATTTTTATGTCCAAATGCCTACTTAGTAGTAACAGCGGAAAAAGTTGCAAACCTCTTTGTCACTTAGTTGTCCTTTGTTCTTCAATAACAATAATATAATCCAGTTAGCCTATAAACTGGGAAATCAATAAACTAGCTTCCACATTCGCCAGTTATTCAACTTATATTATATGCCCTTTACCCTGTATTGAAACTGTCTTCAGTCATAGGAAACAAGCCTCTCTACTTGATACAATGCCAGCATTTATCTTGTGCCCTCTTCAAGCAGCAAAACATGAACAGAAAGAACTAGAAGTTTCTTTCACATGGCATGCCATCGGGACGAATTTGAATGTTATTAAAGGAAAAATGAGAGTAGCAAATTAATCTTTAAAAGAAACATCAAGACTTGCGCGAAAAACGTTTATGGGATTAGGTCAGATACATTTTACTCTTCCCTGACTGTCGCTCTGATGAACTTGTAAACGTTCGTGTACAATTGCTCCTGGAAGCAGGAATGATAATTCTACCCAAAACCCAGTAATCAATTACAATCTCTAGTCATGACTATCAATAACATCATCCAAGCGCGAAGTGAAAATATTGATGGGAGAAAATTGACCAGCCTCAGAATTCAGCTATGATTGTTCAGCAGCTGCTGCAAGAGGTTGAAGGGCTTTCATGGGATTCAAGATGACACCATCAATTAGCCCATACTCTTTAGCTTCCTTTGCACTCATGAAAAAATCACGATCGGTGTCCTGGTTAATCTTCTCAAGGCTTTGACCAGTGTGGTAGGCAAGGTACCCATTCAGGTTAGCTTTGTGATGCAACATCTCATTAGCCTGAAAACCATGCCAGCATGATTTAGGTCCAACTATCCCATCATTACCAATTTACAAATACTAGAGTTATAATTCAATGAAAGCCATGCATTTATATGTGGTTTAGCGTCTTAGCATGAAAAGAAGAAATGATTTCACATAGATATTTCAGTATTATTAACTTATCGAAGAGAAGTTGCACTATTTGAGTTATTGCACAAGAGAGATGGAAATCTGTAAGCTCTGACTAACTTGTGTACATAAGCTGAAATTTTGGAAAATTAACTTGTGTCATCGCAAATTTGTCTAAACTAAGATACAACAGCTACTACTATGCCACAATCCCAAGCAAGTTGATTAGCTCTCTGAAAGGATTGGATGGGAATAATCCACAAGGTTTGGGGTTGGTAAAAATTATTGTATTTATATTTCACCACCGCCAACATCGCAAAATTGTCCCACTTGTTATGCATTCTGTGAATGAACAAAGAATTGGATATTTCCTTAGTTTCCATTATAAGTACTGTCCAAACGTACTTTTCTATCCTTTTTTTTGTAAGCACACTGTGCAGGCTGATTTTAGTTTTTCAAGGGTCAGAGGTTCTGTCATGGCAGTTTATAATTGGATCCTGTACCTTATAAACCACCACTTACAATGCATTCTCTAAATAAACATAGAATTGGACATTTTCCATCTATTTTATGTTTTATGGGGCACTGTTCGGATGGTACTTTTATTTGGCCGCACATTGAGCAGAATGTAATTTTTTTTAGAGTAAGGAATTGTGATTATAGCATCTTTTTGAATGAGGGATTGGGATTCTGCCATAGGATGACGCCAGATGTTGTACTCTGTATACCAATATATTGCAATATTGACTACTAGATGCAAAATTTTTGAACAAACTGTGCCATAAAATATTGTGATTACCTGTATATCTATATCAGTTTGGCCACCTTGAGCACCACCAAGAGGCTGGTGAATCATTATCCTTGAATTTGGCAAGCTATATCTCTTTCCTTCAAGGTGATAATCACATCAAAGTTAAGAACAAAAACTAGAAGTATAGCATAAAGAAAGTTGCTTTATCCTTGAATCAGCTATTTAATTTACCTTTGGTGCCCGCGCTGAGAAGAAAAGCTCCCATACTGCAATGCCCCAAAACATAAAAATTAGCTATGTAAAGGAAATCTAGTTATTCCATGAAGGGAAAAAAAAAAAAGCTAAGGCAATCACCTTACAGTACCAAAAGTAAAATAGACTCCATAAATTCCATTTGTAACTGAATCTAAAGTTTTAATTGAAAAAAACCTTGTGAAATAAACTTGTAAATTGTCCGCAACTCACCCATCTATTTATATGAAGGTCAAGGAAATAACCGCATGAAAGGTAGGGTGGATTGTAAAAGCAATGTTACATCAACCTGGAAATACTATCAAATAACACATCTATTCAAACAAACAAAATAAATTTATATTAGATTAATTTCTCTGAGATTGGATACTTCTTCATTCAAGGGAAGTCCTCAGGAATTTGGGATCAGATGAACTGACACAGTATAGGAAGAGAGCTTACAAGGGGCTAAAAGTGAGGAAAAGGAGGAAGAGAAGAGTAAAGGGAGAGGAAGAAGAGAAAGGAAAAGCAAATCCGATCCCAACATTTTCAAATATTTCCCCTAAATTCCAGGAAAAACTATTTTTGACGAACTTCGGCACCAAAATAGAGGAGTGCGAATACTGATCCCCCCAAAAAAGAAAAAAAGAATTAGAGTGCAAAATACCAAATGAAAGGAGAGGTTGTCAAAAATGCCAATAGCATGATCGGAAGTGGAAAGATACTAATCAGAAATTTATAAAAAGAACCTACGCGGGAAAGCTTTGGTGTCCCATCATGGGTTGTGTAAAGGTGATTTTCACAAAATATGCATCACAAGCAACAATGTGCAGTAAGATCATCTTCTAGGAGAAACACAAAGGTATAAGTAACCAAAGAAGTACCTTGCAGCGAGTCCAACACAGACAGTGGAGACATCAGGTCGAATATGCCGCATGGTATCAAATATGGCCATTCCTGAGATATAATAGGTGCACAACAATTGATGAACCATGCATTAAAGTAGACAGTAAAACTGATTATAACAGTTCAACACAATGCAATAAAAACTGAAATAACTATGGCAAATTGGCAGCAGAAACAAAGTGAGTTGACTGGAAACACTTGGTTGTACCCGCCGTTACTGACCCTCCTGGAGAGTTGACATACATGACAATGTCCTGCGCAATGAATTAAAGAGCTGCTCAGTTGAATTAAAAGAAAGCCGTGCAAAAAGTAAATAAAAGGATGTAATTCAAAAAAGTAGGGAAAAAAACAGTGGAAGAATTAAAAGCTTCACTGAAAAGGGATGCTACTGCAAAAGTCACACAAGCATATGTCAAAAAAAGAAGCAGAGCTGCATAAGAAAACCATAGAAGCAGCATCCCTTTATTCTTTCTTGTTCAATAAAAAGAAGCTTTTCTTCATTTTAAGCTGATCAAGGACTAAGCCTCACATGGTATAAGGGCTGTCAATTACATCAGTTTATAAGATTTACACCAAGAGAAAGAGATGGAAAGGTGGGATTTCACACGATTTCCATTAGGCCTAAACTTTCTTCACTCATTACTGGGCCAATGTGGCCTCAGTAGGCTTAGCTCAAGCAAACATGTTAATTGATATCACATGCTGAAAATCCACCATGAAAAAGAGACAAGAAATTCATAAATTGCTCAAGCAATTAAGCAGTGGACAGATAATATTCGGCAAGAAAATGCAGTGGAAGAGACAAACACAAAAGATGATGTATACTACTGTGTTTTGACGGGATATCAACTCCTCCTATGGTGCTTAAGGCTAGATGTCTTCTATGGTTGTATGATTGGCATAATTTAGTTCCTAATGACTGTCATATGAAGTTTTTTTATTTTGTCAGCTCTTTAGCTCTTGCTTAGCTCCTTTTTGTTCATAGCTGTCTGTTTATTTTAAGTACTCTCTTTTGTACACCTTGCATCTTCTGGATGCCATATATAAAATTCCGCTTACTTTATCAAAAAAATAAAAGAAGATGATGTATACTACTGAAGGAATGCCTACTGCAGAATCCTCTTTGAATTAAAACATCTAATATTTGAACCAAGAGTATCCCAGGAAAAAGAAATGCAGTCTTGAAAATATACCTTTGTGGGATCAACAGCATCAAGATAAAGAAGCTGAGCAACTATGATATTAGCCATATCATCATCAACTGCTCCACCACATCGTATGATCCTCTACAAGAAGATAATAATAATACAAGAGTTAAAATTTTACCATATACTTCAAAACTTGGCAGTCAGTGTAAAATTTTCTATCAAAACACAAATCCTTACATATTGGAAGAGCTGGCTGATCACACTCTGAAATCTCTCTTGTACCATCGGAGGTGGTCCTTGAGCTTGGGCATATGTAGGAAAATAAGGTGATGATGGAACTTGCAAATCATCTCTGCAGAACACAATAACAAGGAAAAATCATATGACATAACGGATTTCTGTGGCACATAAGATGACAAAGCAACTAAGTCATTAACAATGAATTCTTAAGATTTATGAAACAAGTCACGAAACTGAAATTTTCTCTCATATAAATCCTACAAAAATGACCTAAGAGAACATCCTTCAATATATTTTGCTGGAGAACTTACGAGATTGTCCAGTGAAGCAAAAGAAAATAAAGATAAAAGTAGTACTTCTTCTGTCTCAATTGATATGAACTCTTTCAATTTTGGGACATCGCAAATTGTTAGACACCATTCCACTAACAATTTTGATTCCATACAACCTTCCCAAATTTCAAGAATTCAAAATTCACTTCAGTATTCAATTTTTGAACTTTCATGTGATGTTTTTTATATGAAGCAAACTTTTCAACCCTCACTTTATTTTCTTCTACTACTAATATTTAAGTCAAATTGACATCTTAAACAGGAGACAGGCCGGCACACCCATATTTCTTATGCATTGTCTACATTGGTTTAGCTAAAACTGAGCACAAACCCAAGATATATAAGTTAAATTGACATCTCAAATAACAAGAAAAAAGAATAATTTTTGCAGATTTAACAAGGAATTCCAACAAGACCCTTAAAAGATTGGGTTTTTAACGAAGGTTACAAACCTTATAGACCAAATTCCTGTAGGTGAAGCCTTAGCTGAAACCCACTCAGCTCCGGAATACACGGCTTTCACGGTGCTATTTCCCCTATTCTTCACTTTCCCAACAGTCTTTAATTTCCTGGGAAATTAGCCAAAAAAATTCAAAACTTTAAGGAAAAAATTTCAGCATTAGCTACATATACAAGTGAAAATATACAAACCCATCTGAGTACCTGAAGGGAAGATGTTTAAATGGGAGGGAAACGGGGTGGGCTTGGGGAAGAGTGCAAGATTCAATTGGGTACTTGAATTTTGAGATGGAGGATGTTGTGGCTATGCAAGAATGTGCCATTTTTCCTTGGATTTTTTTGGTGAGAGAGAGAGTAGAGAGGGAAGGGTGTTGATATTTGCTGGAGTTTGGAGTAGAAGAAGAGTAAAAAGATAGGTTTTTGGGGCAAAGAGTAGTTGAGTGTTGGAGTAAGCAAATAACGAGAACGACGAGCTTGGACGTTGCGGAACAGCCTCGCTCAGCGTAACTTAGCACATATCCCATAAACGTACGCCGCTCAACCAAATAGTAATTGGGAAAAATAGAGGTGTTAAAATGAGAAAAATGAAAATTGATAGGCCGGTTTTAAAATTCTGTGCGAATTTAGGGGGTACTTAGGCCATTCTGCCAAAATAAAAGGACTTAACCAGGTTTTAGCTCAGGTTCTTGCAAAGTAGCTGGGTTGGTCTTGGTGTAACACCCCGTAAATTCGACATAGGTATGAATGAGTTAAGGGAGTAGTAAGGTTATATTTTGAGCATGTGAAGTCTCATCGAGATGATTATGGGTGAAAATAGTTGTTTCAAAATCAAGATGGAAAGTGAGGTGCATAAGATTTGACAAAATCGACTAAGTTTGCAGAAGGTCTTATTCCATCAGTGTTTAGTGAAAATGTGTAAGGAATTGGGGAAAACTCAAGCATGAAAGTTGTAGGCCTTTGAAATATCTTTCTAACGATATATTATGGAGCCCGAACGGATCTCTGTGCAAAAAGTTATGTGCGTTTTACAGAACAGTACGTGATATGCGCGCCCTTAGCGCGGCCGCGCTAATTTTGAGGCAGTGTGACTGCCGTTTAGCGCGGTCATTAGCGCGGGCAAGCCTCCAGTAGCGCGGGCGCGCTAGTGGGGGGTCGTTTTAAAGCTATATTTCGTCCCCCACACCCCCCAAAACATAAAAACTTGCTCTAGAAAGTAAAGCTCTCAAAAACCTAACTCCTTAAGGGTCCCTCCACCACCCAAGGTAAGTTCTAATAGTGATTCTAAGTTAATTTCAGTTTTCCAACATCTTATTAACATGGGTAAACCCTCCATATCATTAGATATTCGATTGGGACATCATTGTTGAGGGAAGGAAGCCTAGAACTCGAATTCAAAGAGTTTGAACGTCAAAAAGGTAATATCTTCACCCTCTAATTGATTCTATCATTGAATTAAAGAGTTTGATAGAAAAGCATGAACGGTTATAGGTTTGGGTTGTTGATTGTTGATTATTGGTTAAGGGTGTTGATTACCTTATGGGTGATAAAGAATAATGTTGATTATAACCATTTGAGACTTTACAATTTATCTAGGAGCAAGGGAATGAGTTATTGGGTGTAGAGACACCACTAATAAGGACTATGAAGCTTTTTGTCACCAAGTGTTTGAGAAAATGCTTAAGTGACCAAAACATGAGAATTTATGCTAATATGGAATCCTTTTGACTTGTATTGATATGGATTAAAGTTGAAAGGGGTGGCGAATGTTGTATTACGCTCAAGAGCAGGAAGTTAAGGTATGTGAGGCTAACTTTCTATGTTTGGGAATTTTAATGATTCTCCCTACACTACGTTTCTTTTACAACGTATCAATTGCCTCAGAAATATAGTTAAGCCTAGGTCCTTGAATAGTTGTAGAACTTCTATTCTCTAGCTTCATAACTCGTTCATGACTTTCATTCCGAACGTTGTGAGCTCAGTTCGTATTCAATATAGACCTGGGCTTGATGTCCCTAAGTCTCAGTATAGCTTACTCAGCATGTCATAAACAGTCGAAGTTTCAGTATTCCAGTATTATGTAACTCAATGTGATCCAGTATTCTAGTATTATGTAACTCGGTGTGATCCAGTATTCCAGTATCATGTAACTCAATGTGATTCAGTATTTCACTATCATATATTGCAGTATGATTCTTAGTTCCTGATTTTAAATCCCTGAATGTTGAACACTTGTATTTGGGCCTGAGGCCGCAGTTTATGCTTTATGCATCTTTGGGTCTGAGGTCGTAGTTTATGCTTTATGCATCTTTGGGCCTGAGGTCGCAGTTTATGCTTTATGCATTTTGGACCTGAGGTCGCAGTTATGTATACGTATACTTGGGCCCGAGGCCGCAGCTTGTGCACATATATATTGGGCCCGAGGCCGCAGTTTAATATTCAGATAAACAGGTTGTTCATCATTCAGAAGAGGGAGTATTCATATCCTTACTTCCTTTATTTAGTTCAGTTATCAGTTATCAGTTATCTTTTCAGTTATCAGTTCAGTTATCAGTTATCAGTTATCTTTCAGTTATCAGTTCAGTTATCAATTATCAGTTATCTTTCCAGTTATCAGTTCAGTTACCAGTTTTCACTTCAGTTTCAGTTTCAATAGTTATCATTTCAGTTATCAGCTTAGTTTCAGTTTTAACATTTATAATTCTTTCTTTCAGTTGCTTTACATACCAGTACAATTCAAATGTACTGACGTCCCTTTTGCTCGGGGCCTGCATCTCACAATGCAGGTAATGATTTACAGGTCAACGATGCAAAGCGCTAGGATTCTCGTACCAGCTATTTGGTGATTCCTAGTTCTTTCGGGGCATTATCATTACTTTACAGCCTGTCAGTATTTACAGATAGTTAGTGTTTTCAGTACTTCAATAGAGGCTTTATAGACTAGAGTAACGGTTAGACAAAGTCTCAAGTTTTTTTCACGTTAAGCTATATTTGCTACAAATACATTTCAGACATTGTATTAGCATTTCCGTACTTTGATTTATATCATCCAGACTTTCAGTATATCAGCATGTGTTAGTTTATCTTCCGCATTCAGTATGTTATGATACCACATGTTGATTCAGCCAGCCAGTTGGTTCGCTCGGTCATATGTAGTCAGGCATCGAGTGTCGTGCTACGTCCAGGCCCAGGTTCGGGGCGTGACAAAGCTTGGTATCAGAGCACTAGGTTCAAGAGTCCTAGAGAGTCTATGAAGCCGTGTCTAGTGGAGTTTCCTTTATATGTGTGTGCCGGCCACTCATATAAACGGTTAACTACCAAGACATCCAGGATTATCTCATTTCTTTCTGCTTTAGATCGTGCCATGAAGCTTAGAGCAATAGTTAACCTTCTCTTCCTATCGAATTCCAAACGTATTGGATGCCCAAGCGACACGCAGGAGAAACCTGAGGTCCTAGAGAGGATAATTGCCCATTGGGGTATAATTATGGAGTACGGGTTGGTAAATATGAGACTTTAGAGGACGGTAGAAGTGGGATGCAATGGATAGTAGTACAGATTAAAGCATAACCTTATCAAAAAGTACAAAAGCAGTTATGATGTCTTATGGTTATCAGTTTACCTCAGTTACCAGTTATACAATCTTTCAGTTAGCAAGTTTATGGTTATTCAGGATGCCAGTTATCAGTTATTTAGCTACCAGATCTCCAATTTTCAGTGTATCAATATTCTGGTGACTTGTGAGTATACAGTGATGCATATGGGTTCTCAAAGAAAATGTAAGTAACAGTGGTTATAGCTAAATCTTTGCATATTTTAGGTCCGTATTAAGACCCAAGAATCGCCGGATGGTGCAATAAGTGATTCATCAGATAATGGTATACTCTGAAAGATAAGTTTGTGTATGATAATCGTATGTGTTTTACCTCAGAGAACAATTTCTTTTAACTTTTGGAAATAGAGCCACAAGTTGGATGATGATAGTTCAGATATCAGACCCTAACATTGGTCACTATAGTTTTGGACAGAAAAGAGCCTAAGGGTAAAATACCTAGGAGTCAGAAACATTTGTTATTACCCAAGATGTGATTCNACCAAGAGCAGCCAATATAATATTGAATTTTAGGGAATGATTTTAAGTTGTTTAGATTTATTCAAATCGGAACTAGAAGTACCACGTTAGTAGGTTACTATAAAAAGCAGCTATTGATGTAAGATAGAAGATATGGCAGTTCCCCCTTTAGGTTATGTGACTAAATTATCACCCCGTATGTTTATAGTATTATATGATTTTGTATTGTATAGAAAGTTTGGGGTTAGATATTCCAATTTCATTTAAGGCAGATGAATTTCCTAAGTGTGATCGATGCACATAGTTTAGAAGAAGAAGAAAAAAGGGATAGTATGCGACCGTAGAACAGGGCCGGATGGTGAGGGAAGTTAGAATAACCTTATGCCTTACTTTAGTTATCCACAAGTAGAACAAGAGAATGTGATTCTAGCAGGTGTTTAGTAAAAGAATAATAAGTAAGTTTTGAGTTGATACAATGGATTAGAAATTTCATCAGAGCTAGTAGAGGTACAATTTGATTCATTTAGCCAGGTTAACTCTAGTGAATGGGTAACAGTTTGAAACACCGAACGTGTGTTAGAACCCAAAGAGCTTAAGTTAAATCCGAAGTACAGTGATAGTGGAAAAAACAATCAGCTAGCAATAAGAGAGCAAACTATAGAAGAATAGCCTTTAGGAATTATCGAAATGTGGTTTCTCCAGGATTGACAGTGTGAGCAGAGTTAAATTATTAAGAGTGTGTATGATGGTTGTGAATACATTAGCTTTCTGTTGTGAATAATTTAATTTTTTTTCCTAGCTCAGAAGTAAGTTGGAAGATGAGTCATCATTGACATAGGGTGCAAAGAATTGCAGAAAATAAAGAAAGTTATTTGGGTCCTTAAAAAAAAAAAAAGGATCCGCAAGTATAAGACCTTTGGTCTAAGGGGTGATGTGAAAATTTTTAGTAAGTCCAGTTACAGATTTGAAACCAGAATAGTTAGCACGGGATACGAAAAAAAAAATCAGTTTGGTAATGAGGAAAAATTGTATAAGTACCACAGGGGTTATGTCTAGCATGTGTAAGAAACACAAAGTGAGTAGAATGATCACTGAGCTTAGTTATTGATGATAAAGTGATCACAGAAAAGCTGTAAAATCATGCCTATTTATGTGTTATGAGGGTAGTGCCATTGCACGAGACTCTAAAATTTAGAGTATATGTCAAAGACTTAGGTCACAATAATGCTATAAGTGTTTTCAGGAAGTGCTTAAGAAGATAAAGTGGGAGAGCTATAACTCATGATTGAGGTAGATAAGATAACTCTATTAAAAGAAGTTCACCAGCCAAGATAGGAGTTCGACTTTGGACTCCGAAGATGACGTTGTCTAGAATAGGACTTGTCCACCC